CTAACACCAAAGCCAGTGTTTAGCTTTTGCCTGCTCCTCTTAGCATGGGCTCATGTTGGCGGCAGTACTTTGACTTTAACATGTTTTAATAAGGTTCTCTGGTAGTTACATTAGTGGCCATCAGTACTTTAACATTTCCTTTGTCTGTGCTCGACTGTGTCCTTAACCAATGACATATGACACTACCAATTGCTACTAATTATCCTAACACCAAAGCCAGTGTTTAGCTTTTGCCTGCTCCTCTTAGCATGGGCTCATGTTGGCGGCAGTACTCTGACTTTAACATGTTTTAATAAGGTTCTCTGGTAGTTGTTGTTTTTATTATGTTGGCATTTTAAACCTTGCCCAGGGACTACAGTTGAAAATTAGCTACTTAGCTAACACTGGCTCATTTACAGAAATGTTTATTAATGTGCACTGTCCCTGTTCAAATAAACACATAAATAAAATAAAATAAAAAAATTATTCATGCAATCTCTGATCCCATGCCCCCCACACCCCCCCTCATAGTGTTAATGTTAAGATCAGGCTCAGGATTTAAGCATGTATGAAACCAAACCAGTTTTTGATATGTGATTCAGCTGATTACCTGCTGACAGGTCTTCATCGGAGGAGGACTTCCCCAGCCTAGTGGTGGAGAGGCTGCTGGTAGAGAGAACCGCACAGCAGGACCTTCCTCCTCCCGGTACGCTTTTTATTGTATTTTATTTTTTTATTTTTACGATTGTCCATCATAGTGACCTGCTTTCATTGGAGATTTCTGTTTGTTTTGTTTTATCTTAGTTCTTCCAGCAAAGCCAATCAAATCCAAATTAACTCCATCAGAAATGACAGATACAAGCAGCCTGTTGAACGACGCAGAGTGGTACTGGGGAGATATTTCCAGGTAAAGCAGTGAAATTATTACTGATCTATTCCTCTTGTGGTGCATGAAGCCTTTTTTATTGGGATGTTATGTAATGTACTGTAGTGGTGGGAACAGCAGTTCTTTGAGTGAAATGAATCAGTCTAATCAGTTTATTAAAAGGATCCTTTTATATACAGTTTTAGTTTTATAGTTAAAATGAGCAAAAAGCTTCGGTCACATTCAGTGTTTCAATCATAGAGCTCTGATATGCTTTCATGTTGCTTAAAGAGACATTATGTACGTTTTTGTTTACAAATATCTTTAAAACAGCCTTTATATTTGACCCTTATGACTAAAACATTATATTATGAGCAGACCGACCCATTACTAGTTCAACATCTAAAAGCCTGGAAGCTTTTTTCCTTACTTTACTTCAGATAGGAAGTTCCCGCTCTATTNGCTTTTTTCCTTACTTTACTTCAGATAGGAAGTTCCCGCTCTATTTGGCGGATATGATGTCAAGCTCGTTCGCTTTGAATGTCTGACTTAACAAACAATTGAAGCGTTATATTCAAGATAGATGATCAGCATACTAAGAAGCGACCGGCATACCAATAGTCAATGTGCATGCGCAAGATGTCAGATTTACATAAGCGTATGCTGGTCCTGTTTATCCCTTTAGTATATCCCTCTAAAACCTCTTAAAACCTTAAAATTTTTACCAATATAGACATGTTAGACATCATTGGAAAGCTTAGATTCTCCATAATTCAACCACTTCGATCATTTTATGGACACAGTGAGCAGCAAACTACAAATAACACAGATATGGCAGCATGTCAAAATGTAAACAAACAAAGCAGCCACAGCTACATACATTTGAAGGCATCTGGAAGCCATTTTATAAATCCCATTTTCTCTTGTTTATTCTCCATTCGTCCATAGATTAAAAGTAATCCAGCATATTAGTAATAAAAATATTCCATGATGAGAAAATTGCCCATAACATCCGGTTGTTGATATTAGAAAATTCAGCTGGTCATAGCTAATTCTCAGCATCTTGCTAATATTGGTTTGTTTGGTGTGGTTCTTTACATCGTCTTCTTATCTACAAGATACAAGTGTCTGCATGTTTTTATGACGCGATTTGAGCGAGATACAGTCCCCGAAATCTCACCTCCGATTCACTTCCAGTTCACTTCCTGTCAGCGCGCTTTATGATGTCAGCAGTAATAAAGAATTTGATCCTGAAAATTAGACCAATGTGTTTTCAGTACAGGAAGGAATAGGGCCACTAAAAAAATAAAAGAAAGTTAGCTGATTTTTAAGTATTATTTCAGTTTAATGTGGGGAAAAAAGTCAGAATTCTGACTTAAATCTTAGAATTCTGACAGATAACAAACATGTTGTCATCAAGCCGTAGCCATCTCTGTTTTAGAGACTAACTGTCTTGTTTTAATCACCTTCTGCTCTTCCATTAATGAAATAGCATCACAAGGAACCCCATTTTCCACCAATGTGTCACTGGCCCTCCCAAACAACTCACATCTTTGTCAGTGAAGCTGAGTGCTCCTACATCTCTTCCTTCATGCTACCCATCTGCATTAAGATCCAAAATTCTGAGATTAAAGTCAGAATTCTGAGA